TGTAGACTGTAACTGGCCATAGGATGCTATATCCATAATAACCTCAGTGTTGTCAGTTGTAGGGGCAGCCTTGAAATCAACTGTATCACATCTCTGACTTGATATAGTTAGTTTGGGATGTTGTGGAGGCACAGGCAGCACAAATCCACCAATATGATCTTATGATTAGACAGTATATATACATGATGTTAAAACTTATAGCACCGAACATCCTCATCAAACAGTCTAATGTTCTCATCTAGATGTTGATTTAAACGTTTTAACATTGCTACATTGCAAAGACGGCACGTGTTAAAACACATGAATACAGTTTACTCATCCCAAGAACTTTCTCGTCCAAAGCAATCATGACTAGGAAAAAAACGCGTGAGTTGGTAAATATTGAGTTTCCAGTGAGTCTGATGTAGTGTGGGAGGGAGGGCAGTATTCAGGAGGGTAATTTCTCTCCATCACAGCAACTCTGTGACTGACTCCCATCTGTCTCTTACTTCAAGTGGAACACTGTGGGCGGTGTTCAAATCACATACATAATGCTGGAGGCTCGTGGAGCATTTTATAAGCAAAATAAATATGCATCAGTGCTAATAAAAATCTGTATGAAAAATGTAATATAATAAACAATAAGCTTCCATAACACTTGCAGGTAATGTGCTCCAGTGACACAACTGCATGTAAATGCAAAAACACAGCACAGAGGATATCTTAAATGATAAAATATTATCTTTCTGAGAATAGTGATGTACTTTTTAAATTGCAGTGGCTACATTCAGCTCCTGCTCTAATGCAGCAGCACTGTGAGGATGAGACACTGTTTCCACTGCAAACAGGGATTGCCTAATACAGTGAGAGCTGATATCTGCTCCAACACTCCCAAAGCCTGCAGACAATAGCACCAGCCGAGGAGGTAATAAGAAGCATGTCCCACCATCTCATCCATCACCTGTCTTCACACAAACACACACATACTTATCTCTTCATACTCCCCGGGATCATACGCTAAATGCTCCTTGCACACATGGACACACACGTGCCTCTGCAGGCAGGAAGGCAGGAGCACACCAACGCACAATTTAAGACTTATTTGATCCCAGTTTAAGTGGTTCTGGTGACTATTTTAATGTGTTCTATTATTAACTGTGGGGGAGGTCACAGGAACATTTTGTGGCAAATCCCTCCAAACACAATTCAGCAATCAAGAGACATGAGTAATGTCACTTCATGAAAATGCACATGTAGAAACAATTAAAGGGCATTAAAGGATTAGAGATGCAATTATTCATATGCAAAACATGTCGCATAATATA